ATTCAATGAGCTTGGCATAGAATCTGTCTATTTATCATGTGCACAGTATAAGCTGAAAAGTCGGAAGGTATTAAGGTATATTAAAAAAAAACCCTAGGTAAAGCCTATTTGTAGAATAGATATCTGATTCCTGGGGTCCTGTCTTGGAGAAATGGATGCCTACTCTTCTTTTGAAAGCACCACACATCTTTTTATCTCTCCTGTTGTTATATCCTCTACTCTACCTTCACACTTGTTACGTATCTCCAGCTGATGTATCTGTCACATCTACAAATTATTTTGTCAGTCTTTCTCTCGAGTTCAGCTGAATTTTAAGATCAATGAACTTGCTTAGCAGTTTGACAGGGCTCTCAGTTGTTGTAACAATTATTTAAGCCTTACAAACTATTGTAGCCAATATAAGTAGTCTCAACTCTATTTAATCACCATTCAAGCCCATGGTTAAATTTGCCTGAAATAGACATGATGAGCCACTAGGCAGACATTTTTAACCAGCTTTCTAGCTTAGAATTTTCTGAACACCTTTGAAAAAAAGAAAAACCCTTAAATCTCCAACACAGGAAAATTCTGAAAGCACTGAAAATGTCCTTTTCTCCTTCAAAACCTAATTTGTAGTCAAACAAATGTGTAATGAGAAAGCAGTGCTGTGTGGATAGTGTTGAGCACTAATTCAGAGAAGACAAAGCAACTAGAGAATGGGATCCAGGAGGTGAAAGTACTAACTGCAGGGCTATGTAAACACACTTACCACATTTTCATTTATCTAGTTCATTGACTTTGTCTTTTGAAAATTATAGCCAAGAAGCGAAACTGGTAATGTGAACAACTTCACGGCTGATTGTCACACTTAAAATATCCTTCAACCTGACAAGTTGGCTGAGAAACTAACAATCTATCTACCTTTAAAAATCCACTTTGCCCTGCTCAGTGCTGAGCAACATTCTTCACAGAACAGCCCTGGCAAGCACATTAGTTCAGTACTTGCATGGTAAGATGGCAGAGGTTGGGTTTCCAGAAACACTATCATTGTCTTCATTTTAGTTGAGGCTACTAAATGTCTTCAGTTTATGATCTGCCTTTGAAATCCTTATTTTAAAATGGTAAATTTCCTTTTCTGAAGACATAAATGCATGTGCTAATTTATTCCCAGAAGGGGAGACACTTCTCTATGCTTATACCCTGTGAAAGCCAGTATGTGGAGAGAAAAGGAGAGATTGAGAGGGGGCAGGAGTTTGGGATATGTTATGGGGACTGCATAATATATTAATCACTATTAACTATATCCACAGCACACCCATAGCAAGAATCAGTCCTGCACACATGATTTGTGAACTGCGAAAACAGTTATTCCATTAGTGAATTACATCTGGTTCCCAGGTAACAAACAAAAACAGCAATTCTGCTTCCTGCTTGTGCCAACCATTGATCAACACAATTTCATCACACTAAAGAGCCGGTGTCTTTTTCTTTGTACCATTTGTTCCAGCACAATATATTTTATTTCTTCTGAACAGTTCTTCATATTATCTTTTTTTCTCAATTTTTTATTTGAATAAGAAACAAGATTGTTTTACATGTCAATCCCAGTTCCCTCTCCCTTCCCTCCTCCCCTGACCTCCCCAACTAACACCCTACCTGGCCCATACACTTTCTGCTCCCCAGGGAGGTGGTTTCAGTTTCTGTCCTGATTGTTTCTTTTGTTACCTGGGCTTGCACTTTGCCCAGGTTTCAGAGCTTCTTACCAACATATCTCACACACCAGACCCTAAATTTTGAAAGACAACTGTGAGGCATCAGAGACACTCAGTAGAATCTGATGAAATGGATACAGTAACTGGTTCAGGCTGTGCTAGGTATAAACATACAGGCAGCACAAGAAGAGAGTTTTAAACAAAGAATACATTTGATTAGAGAAAGTGATCAAACAAGGTTATCCCAGCCAATAAATGTGTGTGTGTGGAAGTCTTATGAATGTTATTGATTTTACAATAAGCTTTGAGTAAGGGAAGATGTTTCAGGCTGAATCCATACATCATTCATATGTGTGGAGTGATGGGAATGGCATTTCTGCTAACACTTATGGATTTTCTCTTAATTATTTATTCTCAAGATAATTACCTAAAACAAATTGTACATCACTTGGCAATGTGCTGCTTTGCCTTTGGTGGATTTTCCACAATTCTGGGGTGAGGTGAGTAGCAGGAAGCACACAATTTGAATTTTATGAAGGAATCAGAATGAATATGTTCATATTGAAATTCACAACTAGATCTATTATACAGTTAGACAGTTTATTTAGAGTTTTAAAGACAATTTCTAAGGATCAAGCATATTCCACTGTGTTTGAAATAAATATTAGTTTTTCTTCCCTTTTACATTTAAAGTCCATGTTTAAATATGTTATTGTTCTACCCTGATTTGTTACTCAATTTGATGGGAAGCCTTGGGAAAAGTCATTTAAATTCACTTCTCTTCCATGTATAGTTTCCTCACACGGTAAAACATAGTGCACTTAATCTGAGACAATATAACCATAAAGACATTGCAATTTGTAAGTAACTCCAATAAATGTCTGAGTAAATAGACTATCAGTTAGAGCAATAAAATCCTCAGTGAGCTCCATCTCTGTGGATGCTGCCTTGGTCTCCTGCACTGAAACATGTCTCCATATGAGGGACACTAGAGCTTTATACAATCCCTTCTGCATGGTCACTGAGTCATTGTCACTCAGCTGCTCCATTGCCATGCTTCACTGGACTCCTAGTAGGTCTTTACTTCTAGTTCTGTGTCTCCCTTAGTTGCCATTTTGCTATCCTTTTGTTTTGATAAACTTTATTTTAATTTCAGGAAAAAATAAGTTTGCAGCCATGTATTACAGAATTTTGTGTTTTCCTAATGTTTATTCTGTTTAGATTTTGGAGATTTCAATTTGTGTTAGTTTTGGAGACAGTCTCTATATATACCAGATTGATTTCAAAGCTTGTGTTGACCCTCTTGAATGCTGAGATTGTAGGTAGTGTCATGTGTCCCTTCACAGGGTGTTGAAAAAGTTTAGAAAATATTTGCTTTTTAAGATATTTTTAAATTAATTATTTGAGATTTTCATGCATATTTATATAACATGAATAATACAAACCCACAGTTTGATATTGGGTTTCAAACTTCAAGCTGAAGATCAGACAAGAAAGTCAGCTAACCCATAGCTCTTACCTCTATCTCATGTTGAAAGGGTTCTCTTGTCCTCTACATGTCTGAAGAATAAATCTCTCAAACAAGCCTCAGACTCCAATACCAGACTTCTGTCTCTCTCAAATCCTCAAATCCTGAGATTAAAGATATGTGATTCCCAAGTCCTGAGATCACCTTTATGTAAGCTGTTTCTCCACAGGACTAGATCAATTTCATAAATCTCAGTGTGTCCTTAAATTAACAGAGATCCATCTGCTTGTCTCTTAAGTCATGACACCACTGCCTGCTCTATGGCTAGCTAATATGGCTGCTGGAATTAAAGCTGTGTATCACAATTTCTTTATTCTATGGCTTGTGGGTTGCTTTGATTTCTGTACTCTCAGGAAAACATTAATAAATCATAAATAATATATCATCACAAATATACCTTGTATTTTGTTTATACTGACTCACCATCCTCCCTATTAAATCCTCCTGGATTTACTCCTCACCCCTCCAACCTTCACCCCTACCCTAAGTTTCCTCCTGCTTTTATTTTTTTTAATAACCCACAGAGGCCTAGTAGTGATGCTCTCAACCATACATGTTGGGCCATCTTCTGAAACATGGTCCACCTACCAGAGACCAGGTTCTTAAATAAGCTGGCAGTGTCACTCTTACCAGCCACCAACTGTCAAGGGCTTCACAGAGAGGAGTGGCTGTTTGTGAGCCACTGCCTACTCTTTGCTGGAATGTTGACTACTTGATTTTGCAACTCTTGAGCAGGCAACCACAGGTGCTATGATTCTATGAGGGTATTGGTCTTGTCATGAACAGAAGACAGTGTGTAGCCCAGGTCCTCCATGGTTACCCTTTCTGAAAAAAAATCTTTCTATCCACTCATGTGAAATGGCCCCTGAGCCTTGGAGTATGTGTTTGATTTAGATGTACTTTTTTGAGCTTAGCTCTACATGGACACATAGACTTTGTGCATCAATCAGTTATGATGCCTTATGTTAACTATTGTCCACTGTATAAAGAAGTTTTTCTGATGAGGACTGAGCCTTCACTAACCTACTGGTATAGAGTCTTGTACTTACAGGAGAGTGTGACATCATATCCCTTTATCAAAGTAATAGTAGTAAGTTTACCTATAGTACCCTTGAGTTTCTCAAAATTAAATTCTTACTCAGATCATTAAAGCTCAATATATTTTGAAATTTAGGATGTATTTTAGTAGATTGATATATTGTAAGCAATTGTAACAGCTTTCTATGTACTTTTTTCAGTAACCCATCCCACTGCTGAATTTTAATGCAAAATTGACTTTAGGAGAATTATTGTACATTCTCAACTGGAAGTTATTATAGCATTTCTATCCAGCAGCCAGCATTTACATCAAAATTTATTGTTCTTTTAAAAATTTCATTTATTAAGTACTTCAAAAATATTTATTATCATGTTTGAGAAAGGTGTTTGGTAGTAACATCATAAAGCCTTCAACTAGATGACTGTGCTTCCTGAGAGACATCTGGTTTCACAGAGTGGGCCACAGGTTACTGTTAGTGACAAACATGTAGCCTATATTTCTCAAATTATTTTCCACTTGGCCCTGAAGGGCATGAATCTTGTGCAGAAGACATTCTTGAACTTGTTTGAAAAGTCATTCTTCCTAAAATCTATGAAAGTTGGACAAGGTAGAGGGAAATCAGATTCCAAGAGAAGTATTATTTTATATTAATGTTTGGCTGACTTTTCATCCCAACTACATTTCAAGATGCATACATTAAAATTATGGATTGATAGAAAACCACATTTCTTTTAATTAATAGGCTCTGTGAAGCTTGTCCCACTATGTTCTTACTGTACTTCAAGATTAGTGTCAGCGTGGCAATCTGAAAATATGTGGAGCCTTGAATATGGAAGCTTAATAGAATATTGGGGTGAGTATCCTAGGAAGAATTGAGGTCATTATTGCAAAAAGGTGCTTTGATTTCTTGAGAAGATTCTCATAAAATAACAAGACCTTTCAGTTCTTTAGAAATGGTGGGCACATGTGACATTGAACTCTTTCACATGTTGCCATCATGCCATCCCCTTTCATGATGTGACTAAACCAAATCTATACTCATCAGATCTTGTAGCCATGTTGTCTAAACTTTCATCCTCTCAACTTGTCTTCTGAATCCCCTTACTTCCCAAATAACTTTTTTTATCACAGTGTGAAATAGACTAGTAGCCAACCTGGCAGAATTGAAGATAGCCTAAAGAAATGCCCATGTTCTCCATTTGAGACACCAAAGAAATGGTAATTTCCTCCAGAATATTGTGCTTGACGAAGGAAAATCCTCATCTCGAGAAGCTTTTTGAATGAAAAAATAAAATTCAGAAAAAGCTAACAACTTTCTAGATCGTCTTATAGAATGAGACAGAACCCCAGACAATGACGGGCTAATAGGACCATATGTGTTTACTAGACAGTAGATATTCTTATCCTTGAACTGGTCCTTAAACTTTAATCACTTCAGGAACCTGAAGATGCACTTGAGCGCTTTGTTGGATCTCTTTTTCCTCTTTCTCATGTATCCACTGTAACCACAATGTAGCTCAAGTAATAAAAACACAAAGACAGATATTGGGGGTCAAGCTGAGATCAGAGAAGCCAAGCAGCCAAGCCACTAGAGAGTTCTGACATCTACCAAGGCTCAGAACAAAGGGTGCCGATCCTTTTCTCAGAGTGACTGGAGGCTTCAATCCTTTCCACCAAACCTCAGACTTCCTGAGACTGCACTGAGCTCCTGCCTTAGATTCCTCTCTAGTGCTGAGATTAAAAGTGTATCTCTCCAAGTTCTGGGATCAAAAATGTTATCTCTTTCTCTTTTAGACTGATTCTCTCTCATGTAGCTGCGGGTAGCCCTGAACTTACAGAGATTCATCTGCCTCTGTCTCTCAAGTGTCCAGGTTAAACGTGTAGCCACCACTGCCTATCATCTATGGCAGACTAGTGGCTTATCCCTGTGGCTAACTAGTGGATTAACTCTTAATTAGTTGTGTGGCTAACTAGAGACTTAGCTCTGCACTCTGATCTTCAGGCAAGCTTGGTTTGTTAGATTATAAACAAAATATCACTACAACTTACATTAAATGATTGTCCTAATTCTGCTTTCCAATTTTAATTTGGCTCAGTTAATTAGCTTACTGCTGATAGTAACTTCACCTGACCTAGGGTATATGTTGTTATAATGAAGTTTTATAACAAACAAACATATAAACTGATAACATGACTGCTATATGGTATGGTTAATGGGAATGTTTTATTGTAGATATAAGAGAGAGAACAACCAGATGCATCTTGAAGACTCCAGAGCAGAGAGAAAATGAAGTAGACTGAACATGTCCAGTGGACTGGACCTGCCCATGGCTCTCTGTGAGAGAGGGGGTGATAGCAGGGATAGACAATATTGAAAGAATAATAAAAGAATCAGTAGCAGAGAAAAGAGAGAAAGAAATATTGTAAGAATAGCAGGGCTATAAGGAGAATGAATAGCTCTAGGGAAGGGGGTATATGGTAGTTTGGGGGATGAGAAGGGCTGGGATGTTCACATGGACTTTAAAATGTGTAACAGGTAGTTATGATACTCAAGGAGCCCAGTACTACAGATAGCCACATGCCGCTTTAGCCAGAGGTAAGGAAAATGACTTCTTTTTGTAGAGAGAAATTAACATCACAAGCTCCTGAGGAATGCTGACTTTTGATTGTCTGTCATAAGTCCTTCTATGGACCAGGTTGAACTGCTTTGATATTTGGACTGCCTTTAGTAGTTTGAGAAATTGCAGTTTCCTTTGTACCTGACTGTTTTTAAGGGCATTGCTAAACTAGGCATTGTGGCACATGCCTCAATGGGCCACCAGTCTTGGTGTTGAAGAGGAGCTTGGGCTCAGACTCCAAGGTAACAGGGCAAGGCACCATGTCAAAATATGAAATAAAAAGAAACAAACATTAATTTCATTTACTCTTGATAACAAATTAAAAATGCCAGACTCCATGTCTTAAGGTTACTATTGTTGTAATGAAACACTGAACAAAGCAACTTGGAGAGAAAAGGGTTTATTCAACTTATACATCACACTTCATCTTCAAAAAGTCAAGACTGTAACTAAATCATGGAAGGAACCTGTAGGCAGTAGCTGATGCAGACGGAGGCCATGGAGAAATGCTGTTTACTGGTGTGCTTCTTGGGGCTTGATTGCCTGTTTTCTTATAGAAATCAGGAACCACAGCCCAAGGATACAACCACCTATAACTGACTGAGCACTCCCTCATCAATCAATAATGAAGAAAATGCCCTACAGGCCTGCAGCCCCATCTTATGAAGGCATTTTCTCCACTGAGCCTCTCTCCTCTCTGATGACTCTAGTTTGTGTCAAGTTGACCTAAAACTATCCAACACATTCTCAAAATACAATGAGCAAAGTATGAAGTTATATTTGTGTGACAAATGTGACAATGATGCTTTAAAAACTGAATAATAGTAAGTGACCCCAATGGATGTTTACCACATAGTTCATTTTTCATTTTTCTTTTAAGAAATATAGCCTGGATTTTAGAAGTCATGTTACAGATTCAGAAGGTTCTTGTGCTTTGCTGTTCAGTGTTTGTCAGGGCACACACATGCTCTCTCTGTCATTTTTTGTTATGCCAAACTGTTTTTCTGTCACTTAAAAAAATATTTCTAAGGCCTATTTAAAGATAACTTCTGCTCTGCTTCACAATGACTTCGGAAACTCGCTTCAGTGTTTAATAAGTATTGCCCTTCTGAGGAAATGTTCTTTATAGCTGACTTAAATTACTTACTCTGTAGCATAAAGCCATTTGTAGTTTTGTCTTCAGCCATCTTCTTCAGAGGGTAACAATTAGAAGATAACCACTAAGTTATCACCCATTCACATTCTGGAGTTTTATTTGCTTGTTTCTTCTTTACACAGAGCTAAAAGTTCTGAATTTCTCACTACAATTCTTATTCAGAAGTTCACTATTTACAGTAGAAATAAATATACAAAGAAGAGGTTCTTCAATTGGGCTTAAGGAATGTGTGATATTTTAAATCAGTCCTTGTCATTCAGTAACACAAAATTTCAGGTTAGTCTGTGAGTTTTATGTTATAATTTTTGGGGGTTATACTGCAATCCTGTCTAATCCCCAATCCTGTTTTATTGTGAAAATCTACAATTGCTATATATGTTTTCTCCATGAGTAATTTTTTTTTCTAGTTGAAAAGGTACACAGTCTTCATCTCAGGGGTATGAAAACATTCTAAAAAAATTATTTCCTCTGAACTTTGGATAGCAGGCTACTAAAGAAATAGAAGCCCCCAAATAGAAATTTTCCTAGGAATATGATATTGAGAGAATAACTGAAGCCTGGTGACAGACAAAATAGGATGTTGTCTCCAGGAATGAGACGTCACACAGGCCAAACAACTTATCAAATCAACTTGCAGGAGTTGCCTAAAGTTGAGACAATTATAAGGACAAGATCTCTTGGCCAAGATTCCTTCTTATGATCAGTCATGCATACCTCTCGCCTTACATTTAAATTTAATTTCATATAAGAACTGTAAAAATGACTTCTTTGTTTGTCTCCCTCATAGGACTACCTTGAACAAATCTCCTTTATCTTCTTCATTACAATTTGTTTCTTTAATTGGATTATAGAGAATTCGAGGCTGGTCCTAGGGCTGTCAGGGCTCTGCACTGTCCCTCACAATTCCATAACAATGCTATGTTCCCTTTTCAACTTAATGAATATAACATCTATCTGTATGCATGTGTTTATATGTTATCTTTGTTTACCAAACAAACAAACAAAATTTGCATCACAAAAAGACATGGGATATGTTGAAAAATCTCTTAAATTAAGGGAACCAGTTTTGTTATTTGTAAGATAATTTTTATTGAATAAAAGACAAAAGATATCATAAGAGGCTATTTTCCATCTTAGTATCAAATTTTGGGGTTAGAGATATGGTTCAATTGCTAAGAATTTGTACTGATGCTCTTCCAGAGGAAGCAAGTTCAATTCCAAGCACTCACATCAATTGACTAAAAACTATCTGCCGCTCCAACTCCAAGAGAATATGACACATCTGACACATTCAGACACCTGCACTCATGTCCACATTCATACACACACCCACACCCACACAAACACACACACAAATAAATATCAATTTTAAAGTTTATTTTAGTATCAAAAGACTTCCTTTTTCTGTAAATTAATGAAATTATTAAACATAAATTTGCTTACACATCCTATGGTCTATAATAATATTCATATGTTATTAATAATACCATCCAATATAAAGCATTCGAAAGAAAAACAATTTATGCCTGGGCTTTGGAGACACATGCCTTTAATCCCGGCAATCAGGAGGCAGAGGCAAGCAGATTTCTTTGAGTTTGAGGCCAGCCTGGTCTCCAGAGCAAGTGCCAGGATAGGCTCCAAAGCTACACAGAGAAACCCTTTCACAAAAAAACAAAAAAAAAGGAAAAAAGAAAAAGAAAAACAATTTATGGCTAATACCTCTATCTGACTGAATCTATGTATCCTTCCTGCAGTGGTTTCAATAGGTATGGCCCTCATAGATTTTTGTGTTTGAATGCTTGGCCTAGAGGAGTGGCATCATTAAGAAAGTTGGCCTTGTTGCAGTAGGTGTGGCCTTGTTTGGGAAAATGTGTCACTTTGGGTTTGGGCGTTGAGGTCTCATGTGCTCAAGCCATGACCAGGGTGGTATACAGTCTCCTTCTGCTGCCTGAAGATGAAGATGTAGAACTCTTCAGCCATTCTAGCACCATGTCTTCCTGCATTCTGTCATGTTTCCCACCATGATGATATTGGACTAAACATCTGAAACTGTAAGCCAACCCCAATTAAATGTTTCCTTTATGAGTGCTGTGTTGCCATGTTATCTCTTCACAGCAATAGAAACACTAACTAAGTCTCTCAACATAAAATTAACAATACTCTGCCAGTTTTTATTCTTTTGGAAATAAATAGGCTTCTACTTTCAAATTTATTCTTCAATTTATCTACAGTATATAGAGAGAACTTGGAATTATCACCTATGGGAAAGGTATGACCAAGAAATTATTGCAACAACAGCTTTGGTGTACCTTTGTAGAAAATTTGGATTCATGTAGCCCATTGGAGACATCCTCTACAATTATGGTCTTCATGGCTCTTGTCCAATTTTTAAACATACAATGCTCCTAATGAATATAAATGGGGCATGTTGCATTGATGTAACAAAAATTACATTTGAAAAGAATAACATGGTGTAAAGAATGGGCGTCTCTTGAAGGTATGCATGAAACCAAGTACATTACACCTTTCCTTAACACTATAAAAAAACTGCCACAGCTCTCCTCTTAAAGGTAATAAGAAATACTTCATTATGTAGCCATTTTAAATTATCATGGCTTGGAAACACAGATTAAGTTTGCCACAAGTTCCATGTTATAATATGGAAGCATTTCCATGAAGTTTATAGTTTTACATAACAAGGAGAGTCATAAATCATGACAAGCTAATGAATTTGTGGGTACAAAAAAGGTAGTTACAGTAATATGGGTGAACCTTTTCTATAGGCATCATTTCCTATTTGATGATTTTCTTAGCATTTTGGTTGGTGGAAAGTAGTGATTTGTTAACAGATTACAAAACACTTCTATCAATTAGACACAAATATATTAGTTCCATCATAGAGGTAGTCAAGGAATGCCTATTTAGGTGGTTGTGGTTAGTCAGAGATAAGGTAATTAGCCTCTGTATTCCAATCTTTCCCTAGCATTGCAGGTTTGGTCTGTCTTTGCAGGTACAATTCCTTGTCAGAAATTCTAACAGAAAAAGGTATATTATTAAATATACTAAATATAAATACTCATAGGGTATGTGCTGGAAGGTCCAAGGGCATAATATTATCTAATAATTATGGAGTGAATCATGGCCACAGGAATCATAACACCTAATACAACAGACAGTTGGACACTGAGTGGTACAAAAAGAAATGTCATAAAGTCACTAGTTCAGGAATATTTCTAAATCCATTGTCCCCAAATTCACCAGCTAAAGAATCATTGTAAACGTCAGGAGTCAGAAATACAGAAAAAAAAATCTAAATATTGAAGAAATGGTTTATAGCAACAAATTTATTTCCCAGACAGGAGGAATGCAGGAGTTACAAAGGCTTAATGTCAGCTTGTGTTCAATGGAAACTGTGTTCACCAATCTCTGAATTGAAACAATTTAATTTTATACTGTTAATTTTTTAGAATAATCGATCTACATGGTTAGTAGTCACCAGTACATATTTATTTGTTCTTCTATTTTTATAATGTTAAGGAATTACCTCAAAGGCCTCAACACATGGTAAGCATACATGCCACCAGTAACCTACATCCTCAGCCAATGGTACTTTAATATATTGCATTTCAGCTTAACCTAAAACCTGAATATCAGGGATATTAGTGATAGCTCAAAGTAGAGCATGAGCTTAGTATTTACCCCAGATCAAACCTGTAGTTAGTGAAAAATAATCTAATAATTTACATGGAAATATAAATAATAATAATAAAATCATATCTCTCAGGAACTGAGTAAAAACCCCTCACCAAAATATTACATAGCCTATCAGTAAAGTTGTTGCAAGCTGGATTTGTCTCTGATGTGAAAGTATGCATGCAATTTTCAAAATAAGTTAATGGAATTCATTATATTATGAAATAAAATAAATATCACATGATCATATGAAAACATTCAGAAAGATCCTTTGTCAGAAGACCATGTTGATTCATCCTAAAGACTCTCCATAATAAAAAAAATACCAGGTAATTTCTGAAGCTTAATAATAAAGATGTTAAAACCCTGTTACAACATACTAATTAGCTTGAAACCCAAAGATTTTCTACAAAGATCTGGATAAAGATAGTAAAGTTTCCTCTCACCACCCATTAGTGTCCCAGTAGTTCGATGCAAAAAGGAAGTCCAAATACACAGTCATTGCTATTATTAATTAGCCAGAAATGAGTGATAAATCTAAATTATATAAATGTGACTCACAAAAGATAAAACAGGAAAAATATATGTATTTAGAAATACACCAGTAAGTTATAAACATTATAAATATACATGTAGCTGACATCAGAGCATAAAGTGGAAATACTGATAGATCTAAAATATCTCAGTAAGGATTTAATTGCTTTTAAGACTGAATAAAATATCCAGATGGGAATCAGAAGACAAAGATTGGACAATAGTATAATCCAAATAGATAATGCATTACAAAATTCACATTCTTCTCAATTGCACAGGGAAATACTCCAAGCTAGGTCGTGTTACACAACAAATGTATCTAAATGAATTTGGGGAGATTATCGACTTCAACTGAAGAATTATTTTCCTGTCTGTAATGGGATGGAATCAACACTGGTAGGATGAGAAAATTCACAGCAATATAGAATTTAATAGCACAGTTTTAAGCATCATTAGTTCATAAAAAGCAAGTGCAGTAAAGGGATATTAAATAACATATAAATATGCTTTAAACTATTTCTTCTTTTGAGTTTGTAGCTTATTATTTATTACATCTTGTATGTCAACACTGGAAATTTTAAATATTCACATTAATTTTTACTACATAACATCATTTGACAAATTTCTTATTTTTTTTAATGCAGTTTGAATATCCTAAATTGACAAAAGCCAAGGAAAATTTTCAGATTGTAAAAATATTCATGTGACAAAAATCTACAATATTACAAAGTTATAAAACATGGCATGGATCATCTTGTCATTTCTTCAATGACATATCTGTAACTAATTGTCTCATTGACAATCAAAAGACTAGTTGAGAACAAAGAACTTTTACTGTAATAAAAGTAAAGTATGAGCAAAGTAATATATAAAAGATTACTAAGACACATAAGTGATTAAAACATGAAAAACAATAAAGAAATATGCTATAATGATACTGAAACCTAATCCCGAGTCACTCAAATCATCATGGACCTGATTGTGATGTTAAGGTATGATGATGAGTGAGGTAAACTGAGTAGGGTAAACATCCAGAAGAATGGAAGAGGAATGGATACAGGACAGTGAAGAGCACGTGTTCCTTGTGAGGAATTAGTATGAGGCTATGGCATGAATATATACAGTATTGTAGAGCTACAGAGACATGTAATATCGAACTTAAACCACGCAAAAATTTTTTTCTATTATCTTGGTAAATAATATATGATCACTCTAATTTCATCTGTAACACACCAGAGAAATAAGTGATAATATTTTAAGGCTAAAAGATGATCTAGGTTTTGAAACTGTACCATGTAGTATTGAATTACCAGGGACTCTTATAGCTTCCTCAAGAAAACTGTTTTCTTTTCCATGATTTATCCATCTTTTATTTCATTACTTTGGGATTCTATGGTGGAATTTCTTATGGTGTCAAAATTTCAATTCCTTGGAAGTGGTGAGTTGTCAGTTTGAAAGTGGAAATATATTGTTATAGCTATTCAGTGTTCACATGTATAATGCTGAAGTCTGACGCAAGTTAATATATTCAATCTTTCATTCATTTTTATTTTTAAACATGAGAATTTAGTGTCCCTGTTCTTCCAGGAAACTTTGTGAATGCTGACATTACAAAGATTAATGACATGGAGTAGCATAGAGATGTGTTCTAAATAGAGCATAATGTGTGGGAATTGTTTCTGATGTCCAGTGAGTGAGAGGAAAGATAAACCAATGAAGAAAATGGAGAAAGGCATTGAAAACCTATAATTTACCAAGACCTAGGGATATGAATCTTATAAGGACATGATTTCAACTTTAAAAGAATTTAGCATCCTGTAGAAGACATACTTTAAAGGTGTAAATTAAACAATACTTTTACATTAAAGGGAGAGTACTTATATGTGTGAGTTGTCAGAAGGCATAACTGAGGAAGGCTGTTGGTTCTGGGGTTATGTGAGTGGATTCCTAACAGAAGTTTACAGATCTGAGTTGGAGGGACAGAGACAAGCTTTGTTAGGAATCATGGAGCTGAATTAAGCGCAGGCCATGCAGGAGGCATCAACGGATGTATAAATAACTAAATATGAGAAAAATTAATGTAATCTAACATATGGAAGTATTATTGAATTAATGTGAGATATTTGTAAGATATTTTATATAGGAAAACTGACATTGTTGAATCATAATATTGCTGAGTAATTCAGGATGGCAGCCAGAATACACTAAGATGAGTCAATTACACTAGAGAACAAAAGCTATAAATAATTGTACGAAGCAAAAAGGAAAGCATATATTAATTCTAAAAGTACCCATGGGGTGAAAATTACAGTATCTGATATTCTATTGAATGAACAGTGTCAAGAAAGAAAGTTGATTTCTGAGTAGGGCAATTTTGGAAATTACTAGTCACCTATAGTGAAAGAAAGAGGGAGGTAGGAGGGCACTAAAGTTCATCTAATACTCTTTGTATATAGAATATGATGTGTCAAAGTACTAAGGCTAGGCAAAACAAAATATTAAGAATTGTGAAATAGAGCAAGAAACTAGATTTTCTATGTAAACCTTGGATTAAAGCTTTCTGATGATTCCACCCTATTGCCCTTTCCTCATTCCAGCCAAACTCAGGAATAATTAATACAAACTGGGCTTCAGAGAATGCTGAACCATGCAAGAAGACCTGGACATATGGAAGAAATATATTCCCAGTAACCACATGTTGTAATTATACCACTTGGGAAATTATAGAAACTGTGGTTATCCACAAAGAACATCAACACAATCCAGCCAGCCAAAGTTCTGTCATGATGGGAGAGGAATTAATGAAACCCAAATTGTGACTGAAGAACTATTGGCTGCTGATACCCATTTGGGAAAGAAAGAATCATTCTTTTAGGGTTGGCAACTGGTAGATTGATTGTTAATTCTCCAGTCAATGGACCCACAGACACACATATAAGGGCATCACTAGTTCAACTTAGTGGGAGAATAAGAGGAGGAGAAAGAGGAAGAAGGATAAGAGAAGGAGGAAGAAGGAGAGGGAAGTGGAAGTCATTACACAAACTCACATGTTTGTACATCATGTCCAGGAGACAAAGTTTTGTGTCATTCCTCCATACCCCCAGTTCTTACCTTCTTTCTCTAATGTAGCCTGAGTCATGCAAAGGGATTTGATAAAGATGTCTCATTTTTAAAAATGCACCCACTTAGGCACAAGTGCATACAGTCACTTATTTTCAACCCTTTGACTTGTTATGATGATTCTCTGCATTGACTGTTGCCCACTCTAAAATGAAGCTTCTTTCCACAGTGTTAAAAGCAACCTAGGCTTAAGAGCAATAATTATAGTGGCAGGACTGTGGGCGTAAATATGATCAAAATACAGTTTATGCATACATGAAATTCTCAAAGAACCAATTAAGATATCATATGTAAACATGCTTATTTATAAGGTTGCTTGATGCTATGATAATTAATATAGTAACAATAGCAGGACCTACACTAGGGCCTATGACTTCCACAGATGTGACATTTTGACCAGGTATATTGTTCCAGGACTGAATTCCCTCCTGTAGAACAGGCCTCAAATCCAATCAGATCACTCTTGGTTACCCAGCAACAATCATGGCACTATTCCCCCCTTGGAAACATACATCCTGGCAGTACAGTATTTAAGAATGCATTGTCTTTTCAACTCATGAATCCTGCATTTTTTCTTCTACTGAAAGATAGCCAACATAGAGTAAGTTTCCAATATTCTCCATCTTTACAAAACCTAGGGTATATGTACCCTGGATTATATACATGTTTATTATTACTGTAAACCTGGTACATAGTTACACTACCCTCAAGCAAAATCATTTTGTTATTCTAACTCAAAAATGTAACAACAAAGCAAGGAAATTGACCTAGAAGAGAACTAGAATTACTTATAAGATACATAGAAGTGGAAATGCTTTACCTGTTTAATATTTAACTTAAAATTCAACTTATCCATGTGGGGAATAAGATGGTTCCTTTCTGGAAATAGTCATTTCACCTGTTTTATAACCTCTTCAAATGCATTGTTTATTAGATGAGTAAAACTATCAATTCAGTCTTGTGAAATTTTAGTCTTACTGGAAAACAACTGTTTACAAGGAGGCAGTAAAATACCAAGGGGTAATAGCAAAGTCTAAATGCATGAATTTCTTTCCTAGGCCAGATTAGGGAAAATGAAGGATGTGATCCATTAATCCACTAACTTCATTGTGTTGAAAAATAACAAGTTTTAAAAATCCCCCCCCCCAAAAAAATAGCCCGGTGTTGGTGGCACACGCCTTTAATCCCAGCACTGGGCAGGCAGAGGCAGGAGGATCTCTGTGAGTTTGAGGCCAACCTGGTCTACAAAGTGAGTTCCAGGACAGGCTCCAAAACAATACAGAGAAACCCCATATCAAAAGACCCAAAAAATAAAATACAAAAAATCCTGTTATGTAACCTTTTAAAAATCCATTCCAATCTGCTAAAGCTATAACATAATATATAGCAATAAGGTGGTTTGAGCAATCAGAATCCATTCAAAAAAGCATAGATGGACCCCCTCTCTTGGTATAGATATACCAATTCTACTACATAACTAAATTCAAATAATGTTTAATTCTTAAGTCCAGTTGTGTGGGATTTCTTTTGGGCTTGTGATTTTTGAGACAGGGTCTCACTGTGTAGGCAGGCTTGGAACTCACTGAAATCCTCCTGGATCTGCTGTCTAATGCTTGAACTAAGGCATTAGGCTCCCTCAAGTTCAGATTTAAAAATAAAATACAATGATATGTGGTTTCCTTCATTACTACATTATTTAACAGTATCAGAAGCAAACTTCCTTGACCAAAAACCCTTAACTTGATAGAAATAATATGACAGGAAAAAATGGAAGAGGAAATATGATATAGAACACATTGATAGTTTAGTATATTCATGCTACTTGATCATTAACTAATAAGAATTAGACTCCAGAAATTATCAGAGAGTGAATATACTCTTCAAACATAAAGTATAGTTGGAAAGAATTTGACTCTACATCTTTAAGGTTAAGAAAGAACAAATACACAAAGCTTAACTCCAATAATGAAATGCAACTGTTGAATCAATTTCCAGATATCATCCTATTATAGATCGAGACTTTAGAATCCATGCACAGATATATATACACCTTTAGAACACATGCTTGTGAAGAAGCAGGTTATAGACTCCTTCCTGATGTAGAATCAGTTGTTAGAATCATCGCTTTGTAAAATCAGCCTTCTCTAGAATCCATCCTCCAGTTTAAGAAGTAGACTCTAGAATCCATCCTCTTGTTGAACTAACCTCTAGAAACCATATTTGGTAGAAGTCATCTCTAGAACCCATTATCTTGAAGAGTGAACCTCTAGAAGACATACTGTCACCATTTAGTTTTATATCCTTGGGGAAAGTTACACAAAAATTTTATTCTAAAGATGACAAGTCATTTTGTCAAAGAAAAAGTTCTTTCCAAGAAAATTCATAAGACAATGTTTTACTTAGTGTCTTACATAAAGAATGTATTCCATCATGCTTCTTAAAACAGCTTCAGGATGAATGACAAGGTCGTTTCCTAATGGTTATTTCTTTTAACAGCAACCCCCCCCCAAAAAAAAAGGGATAAAAGATCTCAGAAGAGGTTATTTTGTGAAAGACTTAGCACTTTTCACCTAAGTACATTAAGAACTGTTAGGCTAAAACACAGGTAA